AAACCAGAACTAAACCGAAAAAGTTCAGAATACACAAAATACTCCTTTTTCATAGACTTCATTCGACTTAAATAATTTGTGTAAGTCTTATTGCATTTAAGCTTTTTATTTAGAAGAGGTAGTATTTTTTTCTCTACCGTAGTTTTGCTTATGGTACCGTTTTTGTCACGCCAGCCCCGTTTGATAGCATCAACTAATATAGCCGTTAACTCATAACATTCTTGATCTGACCATGACATATATGGGCCTTTCTTTTTCTTTTTTGACGTCTCTCCTGCCTGGTCTCCTGATTCCATTCTAAAGAAAAAAGGAAAGTAAAAAACACAAAGAAATCTTTCATATGGATCAAGAGAAACTGTAGTGTAGATTATTATATAAAAATGGATTAGAGAAACTTACGAAGGATGATTGTGGTTTTTCTTCAAACTGGTTTTAGGAGATGATCGTTGTTTCTTTTTTTTGAGAAGTGAGGAAATGATCACTAATATTATATAGGAGAAGTAAGTGTAACTAATACTATTTTTTTGGGATTTTACGATATATGGTTGATAGATTTTATAATATACAATAATTTAATAAATTTCAAAAGTATCGAAAATCTAGCAACAACATTCTTATCTAATAAAATTGGAGCATATCCATAAAGAATAAAATAACAAACATGCTTCAGATGTGTATCAAATATTTTTTCTCACGTTATTGTTCTCACGTTATTGTTCGTCCAATAACAAACATGTTTTGTTATTCTCACGTTAACAAAAACAGAGCATCACGATTCACGACTCACGAGCACACCCGAAACCTTGCAGATGTCGCAGCTACCAAAGCAAGCGTGTCATTGTCATCTTAGCTTGTGTTCACGAGGATAAGGAGATCAATCCCAGTGCCGGCTTGAGCTTTTGATAGACCCCGGGGCAAATTGACAAAAACAAAAACAGAGTCCTATTATATAAAAAAAAAAGCGTTTACACAAATAAAAAACAAAAAAACAACGTTCACATAAACAAAGCAACAAATGTAAAAACAACCACAATCACAAAACAAATTTCATTGTGCGCTCATTTTCTAGTGTTTCTTATAACTTTGTGCTCTCCTCTGTTTCTAGTTAGCCTTGACGTCTTGTAAGATTCTTGTAGCTTTTCCATCTCCATGAATATAGACCTTTACATCACTTGCAAGCAAATTTTTTGAGCAGCTTCTCGATTTAAACAATTTGCAACAAAAGCAATAAACCTTGTTCACATGTTTTGAGTAAACCAACCAATCTCTATCACTAGTTTCCCCATTACGCAACTTCCTCGAATAATAACTATACGAGAAATGCCTACTGTTTTCATCTAAAGGAAACACAAGATTCATTTCTCTTTGAGGCCCTTTTTTAACTAACACATCTCTCATTTTATTATCAAGGTTTTCCCAATACTTAGGATCAAACTTATCAACAAGAGAACTTGGGTTTTCACAAACATTCAAACTTTCATCATTAGATGCATTAACCACATTATCATGCTCACAAACATTTGACCTTTCAACATTAGATGCATTAACCACATTATCATGCTCACTCAAGTGACTAACGTCATCATCAAAATGATTATTTGATTGAGAAACATTATTTATACCACTAGATACTGAATTTTCATTTGGACTTGCTCTTGTCACAAATTTATCTAAAGAGCCTCTTAGTGATTGAACAAACAATTCATCTTGTTTTCTTTTTTTTTCTTTTCTGACATCCAGGCTTTTGTCCCGTCATGATGCAATCTAAATGCAAAGTAAAGAAGAATAGCACCTTGATTTTGAAGAATGAATCTGATTTTTTGAATGCCAAAAGAACAATGTAAACCTGAAAGATATTAGTGACCAGTTGTTAGTGACTAGTGAAGTGAGTTCCAGTTTTAGGAAACACAACTTTAGAAAAAGCAGAGCAAAATTCAAGCAGAACATGAGTTCAAACAGAGCAAAAATACAATAAAAACCGAAAATTGAAAACTTACATAAACAGAGACAGAGAACTTGAACTGAATTGACTATTGTATAAGATCCAAAACGAAATCATTCATTATTGTCTCTTGAGTCTTGATCCGTGAACACTTGCTAGAAAAGAGATTCAATCACGTCAAAGAGACGTTGTGAGAACTGAGAAGGTGAAAAGTTTTGTGAGAACATTAATCGTTTATTGGTGTAAACCCTTGCTCTTAAGTAGACAAAATTTGGCCCAATAAATCAATTAATTGTTGGGCTAAAGTAAATCAACATTTTGGCCCAATTAAAAAAAAAAAAATTGTTACGTTTAGAAAGAAATTCAGAAATTTTATGGACCCTTTTTAATTAAATTTTTTTTTCCTACGAAGATTTACTTTTTTTCTGCTATGCTAACAAACAAACAAAAAATTTGTGTGCCCCCTTATTCTGTGGGCCCCTGGTGGCTGCACACTCTGCCCTCCTAGCTAAGCCGGCACTGATCAATCCGAAGTTGTTGTGTCGTTGCCGTCGTTTGGCGTCGTTGTTTCATTTTGAGTCACCGTGGTTGATTCTCGATCAACCCCGTCAGATAGAAAGAGAGACATGGCTAAGACATGGTCACATGCATATGGCATCTCTGGAGGATACGAGAAAACAGGAGAAGTGAGGTCTCATGTGGAGATGTGATGAAAGAGGCAGTAATCTCGTTAACACAAAAAAGAGAGAAAGGGAGAAGAGGAAAGAGAGAGAGCCATGAAGAAGAGGAGAGAGTTGGAGAAGTCGCACAGGTGGTGGAAATCACTGGTGGCTCTATTAGCACATGCCATGGTTGTGGAAAATCTCGATGGTGGTGAAGGATCAAGCTTGGAGAAGATCAGAGGTGGAAAAGAAGATATGTTGCACATGAGTTCATAGCTAATGGTTTGCACATGAGGCTCTTGGTTGCTCCAGAAGAGATGTCAATGGGAAGACGAATCATTTGAGGGAAATTTTGATGAGGTCTTGGCTCCAGAAGAGATGCCAATGAGAAGAAGACCCATTTGAAGTCCGTACGTCCTTTTTTTTTTCCACCGAAATCACAACGTAAAGGCTCAGAATTTGTTCAATACATTTTACACTAATGTTTCTATTAAATTCTTGTCAAATAATGGTGTCATAGAATTTTACATAACATTGAATAACACTTGAATTTAATAGAATTAAGAATTCAACAAATTGAATAACACTAGAATTAAAAGTATTTCAAAAGAATGGTTACAAATACTTATTTCAATAACACAAGAATTTAATAGAATCTACAAAAAGTCAAAATGAATAACACTAGAATTCAAATTCTGTTTAATTCTATCAATTTCCTTCGTCCAATACCCCCCCCCTAAGATTTAGAGATAAAAGATAAAAGACAGTACTCTAATAAAAAAAAAGTTTATTAATAACTTTAGCCGGTGATTTTAGGGACAATTTCATAGATAGACCATAAATTGCTGCAAATGGATGACATATAGATGAATGGTTGGAGAATTTTGAGTTGAACAAAAAAAGTTGGAACATTATTGGATTCATTCCTTTGAGAAATAGTAGTTGAAAGGGTTGAACAATTTTCCTTCATAATCTTATTCATTTTTCCAACTTTTTGGGTTGAATGGGTTGAATCAATTTTTCAACTTATTCATCTCAAATGATAAAAAATGAGATGAATGGTCACAAATTAAGAGTTTGTATTTTTTTAATGTAATATTTAATTATATTCAAAGAAAAAATAACGTTTCTACAACGATTGTAATTTTTGTTTTTAAAAAATAAATCTACTTTGATTGAAAGACTAAGATATTTATTGGCTAGCCCAAAGTTGAAACCCTTCATCGTATCTCATATCTTCTATCTCCTATTATTTGAATGGTTGAAAACTCACTTTGGACAAAAGACACTAATAAGAGTTTAAGAGCTTAAGTTAGAAACATGGCTCTCTTCACCACCAAAAACCACCTTCGATGTCGATAAAATTAGGTTAGAATCAAGTAATAATCCAAATCGTAATCAACTTTACAAAATTTCTACAAACAAACCTTCGACACGAGTTCGATTTCGAGATTTTAGAAGAAACTAATCGAGGTCATAGATCTGTGAATGAAGAAGACGAGTCGTAGTCTAGTCTCTAGAAATATCTATAGTGTTGGACTTTAATAAAAATAAATATGGGCTTTAATAGATTTGTTTCATCATTATTTAATATGTAAAGAACCTAATATTTAACATCATCAAAAAAAAAAAAAAAAAAAAAAAAAAAAAAAAAAAAAAAAATATTTAACATCAAAAGAGTTACATCGGTTTACAGAATGACATTAAATACCTTTCTTTCCAAAAGGTTAAAGTCAGTTTATTATATAACTTTAATAAGCCGACGTAAACAAACGTGTCTCTTGTAGTGAACTTACACTTATAATTATCGATTTCATAGAAACAAATAATTCATTTCACTAATGTAGCATCAAATTTCATAATTGTTCTCCAAAACGTTATTTATAATTTTTCTCCAAAACGTTTGTCGAAATATGTATAAGCTGTTTTTTTTTAATTAAAGGGAAAATATGTATAATTAGTTGTTGTGACATTTTTTTTTAATTGTTTTATAAAATGCTGTTGTGACATCTTTGAGGTATACAATTAGAAAGCTAATGTAGGAGGATGATCTAGGTTTTTTTTTAAATTTATTTCTCTATATAATTTAACGAGAAAATTCCTGCTATTCTTTACTAAAGAAAAAAATATAGAGAATTTTCTTTGACAAAATAAAAACAAAAAAAATACAATTACTTTGACAAAAAAAAACAAAAAAATATAGAGAATTCAGAATTTCTTGTTCTAATTCCCGGATTATTGCGTCATCGCTACATGTAAGTCGGTTACAGTTACGAGTCGAGGGCAAATTAGTAATTTTAGAATAGTCAAGCAAAAAATTCAAAATTGAAAAATCCCCATAAACTGTTTACGACCCAAAACAACATCTTTAAGCTTCTCCCGCAAAATTCAGCAAAGCTTTTAGAGGAATCTCTCACCCGTCAGTCACCACCACCGTCTAGGTCAAATCTCGTCTTCCTCACGTTCCATTTCTCCTTAGAAGTTTTCCTAATTTCTTCTCCGGTTTATCGCTTTTTTCAATTTTCTAGGGTTTCGCGCCGGGATCTAGAAACCATCATTCATCATGCCGGTGAGTTTGACTCCGAACGCAATCACGGCGATAAACGACGGAGACGTGAATTTGAAGCCGTTGTTACAGGTTTTAGAAATCAAAATGATAGGAAGAAGTCAAGAGAGAAGCCAAGAGAGGTATCGTTTCCTCATTTCCGATGGTGTTTCAGCTCAACATGCTATGGTTGCGGTTCAGCTTAATGATCGAGTCAAATCAGGACAATTTGAGAAAGGATCCATCGTTCAGCTGATTGATTACAATTGCTGCGACGTTAAAGGCCGCAAGTAATTTTCCAGTTTCTCTCTGGTTAGATCTAGTTTCCATTGTGTTGAATTGCTTAGTTATCTAGTGATCTCTGATTTGTTGTTTGGCGGAATAGTATTTGGATTTTTGGATACAGCAGTTTTGGCTTTGGATACAGCTTTTTGATTCTGTGATGTACTAAGTTTCTTATACTGTGCCTTGATACCGAAAGTAAATGTGTGGTTATGTTATTGAGCATTCCTAGTACTGTATTTGGTTAGTATGTGTAAGGCATTTGTTACAATGAGTTTGCAAAAGCAATAGCTTCGATTTTGGTAGAGACCTTTCAATGAGTTGTTGTAGTTAGTTGTTTTTACATTTTCTGTCATATCTGGTATTGGTGAATGCTTTTGGTTAAAATTTACTTGTGCCAAAGATTTGTGTTGTTGTCTTTGTAGTTCTTGGTATATAATGGTTGGGAGGCAGATGTTCTGGACAACTTTCATGGATATAAATGGAGACGATTTTGTTGATTGCTTTTGTAGGAAATATAGTTACACATTTGCTTGGTTGAAGATGACATATTTGGAGGAGTTTTGCTCTCTTTGATAGTGATTTTCTTATGCCTCTATTCATACTGTGTACAGGCTTATTGTGGTGCTGAATATGGAGACGATAGTACCACATTCTGAAACCATTGGGAACCCCACAATATTTGGAGAAACAGATACAGAAGCCCAGAAGCCGCTTTCAGCTGCGGGTAATATACCGCCTCCGAACAGGGTTGTTTTTAATGAACCAACGGCTCAGCATTCTGTTAATAGAGCACCTCCCAGGGGCGTAAACATTCAAAATCCAGCCAACAGTACTCCAAGTTTCAGGCCATCTGTTCAACCTTCATATCAACCGCCTGCAAGCTACAGAAATCATGGACCCATAATGAAGAACGAGGCTCCAGCTCGAGTCATCCCTATTGCTGCTCTCAATCCATACCAAGGTCGGTGGGCTATTAAGGCTAGAGTAACTGCGAAAGGAGATATCAGACGATATAACAATGCAAAAGGAGATGGAAAGGTTTTCTCGTTTGATCTGCTTGACTCTGACGGAGGGGAGATTCGGGTTACCTGCTTTAATGCTGTTGCTGACCGATTCTATGACGTTACTGAGGTTGGTAAGGTATATTTGATTTCAAAGGGAAGTTTGAAGCCTGCACAGAAAAATTTCAACCACTTAAAGAATGAATGGGAAATTTTCTTGGAGTCAACATCGACTGTGGAGCTTTGCCCTGATGAAGATGGCTCCATACCAAGGCAGCAGTTCTCCTTCCGTCCTATCAGTGACATTGAGAACGCCGAGAACAATACCATACTCGATGTCATTGGGGTTGTGACTTCTGTGAACCCCTCGGTGCCAATCTTGAGAAAGAACGGGATGGAAACCCATAGGCGAATCCTGAATCTTAAGGATGAATCGGGAAAAGCTGTAGAGGTAACGCTATGGGGAGAATTCTGTAATCGAGATGGTCGGCAACTTGAAGAGATGGTTGATTCAGCTTTTCACCCGGTTTTAGCAATAAAAGCTGGAAAAGTAAGCGACTTCAGCGGGAAATCAGTGGGGACAATATCTTCAACACAGCTCTTCATAAATCCAGATTTCCCTGAAGCTCATAAACTACGGACCTGGTTCGATCACGGGGGAAAAGAAACTGCTTCCTTCTCCATCTCCAGGGACACTATGCCTGGAGGTGTTTCCAGGAACGAGATAAGAAAAAGTGTTTCTCAGATCAAAGAGGAAGGTCTTGGAAGATCAGATAAGCCTGACTGGATCACTGTGAAAGCAACCGTATCATTCATCAAAACAGATAGCTTCTGTTACACAGCTTGTCCTTTGATGATTGGAGATAAACAATGCAACAAGAAGGTAACACGGTCTGGAACAAACAGGTGGCTCTGTGACCGGTGCAACCAAGAGTCTGATGAATGCGACTACAGATACCTTCTTCAGGTACAGATTCAAGACCACACTGGGTTGACTTGGATAACCGCGTTTCAAGAAACGGGAGAAGAAATCATGGGATGTCCGGCTAAGAAGCTTTACGCATTGAAGTACGAGTTGGAGAAGGAGGAAGAGTTCGCAGAAATTGTTAGAGACAGACTGTTTCATCAGTACATGTTGAAGCTGAAGATCAAAGAGGAATCGTATGGGGATGAACAAAGAGTGAAGATGACTGTTGTGAAGGTGGATAAGGTGAATTATACATCAGAGAGTAAATACATGCTTGATTTGCTCGTAAGGTAAAACAGTGAGAGATTTCAATTAACTCAGAATATTAAGCTCAAGTTTAGTACACTACTATATTATGAATTGATGAATTCTATTGAATCTTGATTCAATGAAGCTTAGCTTTATGATTTCAAATCTCATTCGTTTTTCTTTCGAATTCAAGAAACAACAAGTTTTACTTTTATCCAAAAGTTCATTGCTGCAACATTAAACGAATACACAGAAGGAGAACAGATTACAATAATGATGTAAGAAAGATATGTAGTTCTTAGGTTCTCTTGACAGGGTCAAAGTTGGAGACGCCGATGACGACACCAATGATGACGGTGAGGACAAGGCCACCAGAAGCAATGCTAAGCAAGAAATTCTTGAGGGAAGGAGAGATTCCAGAACCAGCAGCTTCAGCTATCTCCGGGATCACCATCGAAGCGGTAAGAGCAGCTGCGGAGATTCCGGTTAAAGCCTTGTCCATCTTGAGCGCCTTAACTTGAAGCCTCTGTGCTCTGCCTCCAGTTGCAACCAAAGCCTTGGATGGTTTCAGAGGTAATGGCTTGAGGAAAGGCGACGAACGGGTCTGGTTAAGTGGCGTGACCAATGACATCGCGGAGGTAGAAGCCATCTCTTCCGATCTCTTTTGGTCTCTCTAGATTGATCTTGTGGGATTCTCTTTCGAAATGTGTGAAGTTTCTGGTGAGAATGGTATTTGAGAAGGAAGATTTGAGGTAAGTGAGGTTTGGAGATTGGAGATGTGAGATATGAGTCTTACGTGGCAGCTTCTCAGCTTCCTAATGGCTTATTGGATAGATAACGTTATCTTCATTTGAGATTACTGTGGTTGCTATTGGGGGTGATCAAAAATTCAAAATACGTACATCGAGTCCGGTTCGATAATTGAGAGGTGGTTCGATTTGATGTTGGAAAATTTAAAGATTTAAGACCAAAAATAATTCTAACAATTTTGGTTCTCAATTCTCACACCCTTAAATTGGTTATATACAAAGTGTTTGAACAATAATCGGTTTATAATTTAGGGCTCAAATTATGATATTATTACAAACCCACCCCCAAAACGTTAACATATCGTTTGCAACATTTGCCTTTGAAGTCGAAAAGTTATCAGCCTCAGTAATAGTATGATACAGAAACCGGAAAGGCTTCACATTTTTCGAAGGTTGTCCAACCTTGCTTGAAGGTCACTATCTATACCTCCGCTGTCCTCAGCTCCGGTCGCTTCAGCTTGTACCACCTTGTTCTTTGCTGCTGGTACTGCTACCGCACCAGATGGAGCATTCACCAGCTGCAACGTAGATAAACCGGTCAAATCAAGTTAAGCATCTTATAGGTGGGGAAAATAGAACAGGGAATGTTAAATATGTGTGATGTGTCCAATCAAGTTAAGTAACTGATGTAAAACCGAATCTGATGTCACACAATATGGATTTCAGTTGTTAAAGCAGATATATCTTTCAAGCTACGGTAAGGCTTTCATCATTCTGGTTTTGAATCGGTTTCAGTTTATTGGATATCTAACAAGTAAAGCATTTCAATTTGTACTTATACAGATTTCTGATCAGGTTTTTAGGGATTTCGATTAGATTGGTTCGGTTAATCCAGATTTATAACATTTATAAGTGGAATAAGTAACTGGTAGCCAAGATTTTGATGTTTTACCTCCTGGTTGATGTCGATACCGATCTCGTCAAGGACTTGGCTAACAAGATCTTCAGTCTCTTCTTCTTCCTCATCTCCTTCCAAAGCATCATCAATAGCATCTCCCATCACCTCAGATACCATCTCCATTTTCTCGTTTTGCCTCTCAAATTCTTGCATGATTTTCTGCAGAGATGGCAGGTTCATCTGTCTGTTCATTTGCCCCATTGCTTTAGTCACACCTTTCATCGCCTCGCCCATCGCTTGTGTAGATTTCAGAGTCTGAAATAACAAAGTGTAAGTTTACTGCCTTGCAGGAAATAAAGTATAGATGTGTCTGGTGCGGTATTTACGTGAAGTAATTTTCACAATAACAAATCATAATAAATAACACAACAAATAAAACATACCTGAATCCTGAGAGATACACCTTGAAGTTGCGATTTAAGCTTGTAAAACTTCTCAATCTGGTGCCGAGTTCTTATAAGATCCTTTGCCATCACTTTAACAGCTCCCTGTGAGCAAATATCCAACAAATGATAGTCAATTTACAGAAGATGTCCAACTACGAAAGAACACAATCTATTCAAGCAAACCACTAAAAACTAGACTAGTCAGAATCCTACTTTTAGCATCACTGTAATCATTTACTGATACAAGAATTACAGAGGGATACAACATAAAACAAACATGATACCTATAAACAGAGAAGGAGCAGTATATAACTCCGCTAGTCATTCAACCTCGACATATCGTTTTAACATCATACACTAAGTAATCCTACACATGGTAATGAAGAAAGTAGGCAATAAATACGAAAGAGAAACAAACCATCTGGCCCTGCTTTGCGGTCTTTTTAATCTCGTTAATGAGTTTCTTTTCTTGTGTTTGAAGGCCTTGTCTCTCCCTCTCTATCTCTCTGATAGACTTATCGAGCATCCGCTTGTTTTCCCGCAGAAGTTCTGCAACCAACAAACTAAACTTTATGATATCTATATATATCTTCTTGCAAAGCTCATCATGAACATTATTAGCTACAGAACAATGCACAATATGTAACAAATGATCTGATAATCATCAAAGCAATCAAATGCTATATAACTTCAAACCACATCAGCCATCCATCATATTCCTCAGAATCAAAGAAACCAAAACCTAAATTGACCCAAATTTCAAATCAATCCTAAAAACTACAAGATCAAAACTTGCGATCATCGAATTGACAAAGAATATTTCACTAAGTAAGAACTCAACAAAGAAATCGAGTAAGAGAGATCCAACAAGAGACGAAATCGAGAGATACAAAAGAGAAGAAGAACCTGCGGGAGTTTTTCGCTTTCCGAAGATTGAATTCATCATGATTCTTCAATACTAAAAAAAGAGACCAAATCTGGGGATTTGCAGAAGCTTGAACGAAAATAAGCCGACGAATTAGCAAAACCTTTGATCGGACTGGAAAAAATATACAAGAGACGAAGCTTCCTTTCGATGCGAAACGCGTAAAGGAATGATTTTTCTTTTCTTGCTTTTTCTTGAGAAGTTTATTTAATATCAAGTATAGCACCAATCTTTCTCCAAATTAACATCCGAGACCTCTTTTATTATTATTTTGGACTCCTAAATACAGTAAGACCTATAAATTAATCTATACTATTAATTGGGAATCATTGGATAATAATAAACCTTAGTTTTGTGAAAATATTACGAAGAGTGCCATTGGATTTTTAGATTTCGCAGAAGAAATAAAAAAATTCGGAAAAGGGTAAAAAGATAATTTGAAATGGCAAAAACCGCGGATCTTGGACTTCCGGATCGGATAAACACGCGGATCCTGAGCTTTTGGGACGGGTGAACACGCGTATCTTGGGATTGATCCGGCCTGTTGTAATATGGCAATGTTTTTATTGACACCGTTGATCCTTGGCCAATAAGATATTTCCTGCAATCTAAATCAAATTAATGCCAACCCAAATATGACAGTTATCATTTAAAAATATTCCTTTAACAAACGTATCCCATTAATTTCGAATTGTAAATAAGGATAAATAATCAATTTATGAGCTATTAAAGTTTCGAATAATAAAGGTAAACAAAAATAGGGTTGTTGCAATATATTTGCCATATATATATAACTATATATTCTAACCATTTCAAATCGAGTATACCTTAAAACTCTATCCATAATTTAGATTCGCAAAGATATTATTTTGAGGCTGAAAGGTTTAACCCTAAAAATAATAGCCGACATTCTTTTCATATAAATATTCAAGTTTGCTCAAGTTTTCTTCCACTCACCTACTATTTCTAACTTTTACGAAACCCATACTATATAGTCTTTCATTTATAACAATGGCTGGAAACTTTGGTAATCAGACATCAGACCTTTCAAGACAAGTTGGAAAATCCAAGTAAAAATTGTGCATTAGTGGACTCAATACACACAATACACAGGAGAGACAATTGAAATGATTCTCTCTGATGTTTCTGTAAGTATAACTGACTTATATTCTTTTAATGTTTTTGTTAATCTCATTGTCCTATTTACCCTAGATTTTAATAATAGTAGTGAAAAACTGAAAACTAATAAGCTACTATGTCCCTTTATCTACGGGTAGAAAAACGGAAATTGTTGAGCCATGCTGAGCACGCAAGCAAGCTTTATTGGATTAAAGCAATAAAGGATGGGAACATATAGGATGATAAGAAACAGGAAAATAATCGGAAATTGTGTTTAGTAGCATGGTAATAACTACTTAACATTTGTATTTATATGGACATATAAAAAGGAAAATCTCAATAACAAGACAATGAGTGTTGGAAATGGTCCAGAACATGTACGATTTATACTTTTTAGATGATTTCATCTATGTTTTTTGTTTAAATAGTTTCTAAAATTTTGATTATTAAGATATATTCATATGTCAAATCTATTCTGGTTGTAAAGTAAATGTAAAGTTAGAGGATTACCAATAATAACCTCTATTTTTAATAAAATGGAATGAGCTTTCATATATTTACCGGGAGTGCATAAGTCTCCGCCTCCCATTTTATGAGAGATTGAGAGGGATTAGCTCCTGCAAACAAAGGTAAATGGGTAAATGAATTGTCCAAACGGTTTCACAAAACCTTAGTTTTGAAATGTTTCAAAAGATTCAGTTCTGAATAATAATTCAATGATGTTCTTCAAGGCCTCATATTGTACCTTGCAAACACCAAAAATATCACGAATCACTACAAAATATTCAAAGTTTAAAATCTATTATACAACATAAAAAAAAGAACAATCCTAATATTATTTACTTAAGTCAGAGCATATGAGTTTAATCTCAACAATTACAATACGATCATATGACAACTTTTTAAAATGTTGTGAACATGACGAGTTGAACATTGATTGTGTCAAAGTACTTTTGCAAAGTTGAACATGATATTCACACTCCATCAATTTCATTAAAACACCAAGACAATTAACAACACAACTATTGAGCATTAGAGTCTAAGAGCTTCAATCTTAAAATTATATTGAAATCTATAAAGAAACACACGACATGTTTCGGAGTAGACGAAAGTATTGAAAGACAATTTACCTTGCTTTTTTTTTGAAATAGAAGCATTAGAGACCTATATATATTATACACGTTGAGAGGACGAGAAGACTCGCGAAGCTGTGGATCAGAGGAGAGGTAGGTTTCTTATAGCCATTGACAAAGCGGATAAGATCCAGAACCAAAAGATGGATTGCAACGAGAGATCGAGATCAATGGGTAAGCAGTGCTAGAAGAAAGTAACGACAGCGCATGTCGATTACAATCCGCTATAGATGAGATCGGATTTATGTCGCCATCTTCCGAGTGAGAATCGCTGGAGAGGAGAGATGATGTAAGAGAATTGTTTAGACACTGATTCCCACCAAGAATGCATCAGATCTCAATTAGCGGTGGAGGAGATTCCTAAGACGACGGGCGGTGGCAGTAGTTGTAGGTGTGGTGGCGGCAGAAGCTCTAGGTGTAGTGGCGGATTTGAAACAGTGAGGAGTAGAGGAGAGGTGGAGGAGGACGGAGGGCGGAGAAGGTGAGCTGTCGGGAGGTTTGACGGAGAAGTCCATGGACCATGGGAATTGAGTCTGTCTGACTTGAGACAAAGGAAAGTTTTCGTTGGATTTTAGTTACTAACGTCGATAAAGAAGGAAGATTGAAATTGGGTTTACATTTAACCTTAACATGTATTTCGGCCCAAATCAAAAACTTTCGGCTTGAATTATGTATGGGCCACTTAATTAAAATTGTGAAAGAGCGGTTTTCTGAATTATTAAATTTTAATTTATAAACAATAATGTTGCATTACCACAAATTAATTTTACACTTTTTAAAATCTAATATTCTTTCACAATTATACATTTCTATTATAACTATTACACACCTTGATTTCTGAAACTGTTACAATTAGTTATTATGCAACAAACCCAAACTATTTATATAAATAAAACACTAATAAATGATGCAAATAAATCGTTAAATCTTTTTTTTTTAACGTATGGATTTTTTATTTATTGTAAATTATGAGAAATGTTACATAGGAAATCATTAAATCTTCAAATAACTAAAATTTCTATTCAAATTTTAAAACTAATAAAACAAAAAATAAATTTTTGTACCAAAGTTTTTAAAAAAAACAAAAGACAAAATTTGCAATGAATATGTTACATCTATGATATCTATGCTATTATATAATTCACTAACAAAAAAAACAAAAAAAATTTCAAACATTATTATTTTTACATTACATGCACATCTTATTTTCAAATACTATGATACGTTTATGATATATATACTATTATATAATTCACTAACACAACAAAAAAAATATTACTACAAACTTTAATCAAAAACCATATGCTAAAACTTACAACCCGCACGACTGTGCGGTTCACATCTTTAGCTATTGTGTCATAAATAACGTTTTACACTTTTATGTGTACATTGTAATTTATACACTATAATATATATCACTAAAACAACAAAATAATCTATATTTAATAAAAAAATTATTACAACACAATTCTTAAAATATGAAACCCCGCACGTACGTGCGGGTCATGATCTAGTACTTTATAAATTAATAACCTCTCTAAATTAATAAATTCTTCTGGTTCCGAGTTGGGATCAGTGTAAAATATAACATAAATCGATAAATTAATAAGATAATATTTTTTTTGAAAATTCCATGTAAACATATGGTCTCATCTATATTATAAATTAATAATTATATAAATTTATCAATATATATATATATATATATATGTATATTTAACATAATATATATATATATATATGATGGAAATTTATATATGTCATATATGAATTACTAGGATATATATTACTATTATTCGGAAAAAGTTTGTGTTGTTTTTAAACTTAATAATTGCTTCTCTATTTGCAATTGGTTTTAAAAAGATATTGCTTATAAAAAAAAATTTATTTTTAGATAAAATTTTTTTAAAAATTATAAAATTAGTAAAATCTCTCTATAAATTAATAATTATTAATTTATTTATAAATTAATACCTCTCTAAATTAATAAAATTTCATGGTCCCAACATTATTAATTTATAGAGGTTTTACTGTATGTCTTAAGTTAATATATTAAATTAGAACATCTATACTATTAATTGGGAAGCACTCAAACATAAATAACATTATAAAGTGTAAAGTATTACAAAAATGCCATTAGTTTTAGTTTTTAGATAAATTCATTAAAGATACAATAGTAATCACAAAGTAATATATTTAAATAAAAAAATAATAAAATTCTTTTAAGTAATTATTAGTTTCCAAAAATTAAACTCATTTTCTCTCTCTTATTAATTATGGACGAAAATTTAAATTTTGTTTCTAAAAAGTTGTTAACCAATGAGAATTGAAAAACTAAGATTTGATATCCAACTAAAATTTTATCTAAACCAATCCTAATAAACTATTCTATATCAAAAATAAAAAGAAAAATAATACCATTTTAATTCAAAATTAAAAACACTATAGTTTAAAATTTTTTATCAATGTAGGAATTTAAGATTGAATTTAAAATTTCGTAAAAAAATTAAATACAAATATTTAAGACTCAGTTTTGTTATAATATTTTCACAAATTTTGAAATATAAAACAAAATTTTATTTCACAATATCTAAAAAAATGATATTGGGCATTCATTTAGAGCAAGTTTCGGAAATATCTAAACAATAGATTGTACATATTAATTTCAAAATATTTTGTGTTTTTTTTTTTTCCTTCTCAACCGGATCTTCCTTAAACCGATCCATAATATATTGCACATAGTTTTCGAAATAATGTGAACTAATTATATATTTTGCATTCAAAACAAATTATGCAGCTATAGCATATCTATTTTATAGATATATATCTCAAATTTTAATTTTAGTCCAAAAAAT